ATTCATTTATTATTCATTTTATTATCACTATTTATTTATTTATTGTTCTTTTATTATTTAAAGCTTACTTAAAATATTTTTCAAATTTATTCAATTATTTAAATTTCACTAATTTTCATGTAATTTAATATATTATGCATCTTTAGTTTCATGAAAATAATATTATTTAAATTAATTATTTATAAAAATTTACTAATTTTCATATATTTATTTTTCCTTTTACAACTGCAGTATGCTGGTGCATTGTGTCGACTTTTATTTTAATTTGGAGTTTTAATACATTTGGGTGAAAATTCATGGATAAGAGAGAATCATGGATCGCAATTATTGAGTTTTGGACAAAATTGACAAATACTTTTACCTAACGCGTGACGTTTATTTTTGTTCAAAAAATACAAATATTGACAAATTTTGCACAACAATTTTAGATTTGCAATGAATTTGCATAATTCTGAAATTATACTAATATCATACAAAATCTAATATCATTTTAAGCTCAGTTATCGTCTCCTTCAATACAAAAAATTTGTATATTTGAAAATATAAAAATCATTGTCCTTTTATTTAACGTACCTCATTTTATACGTATACAAATGCCAACACACTATCGATTATATAGTTTCAAAATAATAGATATTAAGAGGCAAATTTATTACGCGTCATATTTTTGCATATACTTAAAGTGTAAAAAAAGTTATTAAACTAATTAAATTTTTTATTTTAAGATTTATTAATTTTTTTGCGACCAATTCAAATTGTTGCACAAGTCACAAACTTTTCTTACTTTTATTATTTATGATAATTAATAATACATAAATATCGCAGAAAGATAATAGATATATTTTATTCATCGTTGATTCTCAATTGCGAACTGATGTATATATTTATATGTCAATAACATCCTATTAATCTATTATGTTGGATCCGAATCTGTAGATTGATCTGTAGGTGGATTATTTATTATGATAATTTCCGGACAGCATATTCAACGTTTTCATTTATGTGTTTCTACTATTTAAAATAAGACAGAAACTGTTAAAATATTTACTTTGATTTTTTTGTGTGAATAAATGCCTCAATAAACCTTAATTCAAGTAATATAGAAAATTGTAAATTATACATAATTGTTATCTGAAATATCTCCCAATGCTCTTTATTTTTACAATGGTATATGTTATACCCTAACTAGCGATTATGTAGTGCGCGTATGTTTTTTTACACATTACAATTGACTAATCCCCAATAGATTATTATGTGTCAATATAAACGTTTCAACAAATAATTGTATTATGACCAACACTGAAAAAGTTATTAAACATGAAAAGATTAATGTAAACAGAATCTAATTATAATTTAGAACTGAGAAATGTACATTTCTTTTCTTTCTACACACACATAAATGTATTTCATTAATTGCTTCAATTTACAAGCATATTAATACCTAAAATTATAAAAGTATAAATAAGTTTCAACCTTTGCAGTTCTTATTTGATGACTTCATAATATGTACAAGCATGTATCTGGTATACAATCATGAAGACAATTCGGGAAATTTCTCGTCTTTTATGTAAAAAACAATCGTTCATTTTCTAAATTATTCATGACGCTATAAATAATTAAAATATTACTTTAATCATTATGAAAATTTTTTATATAAAAATATATAATGTATGCGTTCATAATAAACAAGAAAGATTATCGAAAAATATGATAATGTCGAATCTAATATATAACTATACTTACAATTTTGATTTCCAAAATATACAGATTTCACCGTAAACATCTATTAGATCGCAACGTAGACCAAGTCTTCTAGCCACGCTATGAAATATTGTATATACAACGATATCATGACCATATTTACTTTGTAATACCTGTGCCAGGTATAATACAGAACAAATTAATCAAAACGAGAGAATATTAAGAACAATATATAATATATACATATATGGCCCATAATTATATATATTATAATCTCTAATAACTTACATAATCTATACAAATCCATTTGATATCTTCGGGTGAAAATGGGGAGATACATGCTCGAAAATTCAAGATGCTAAATATTATATCCTGGAGTGTATCCATAATCTGCGTACTTTCTGTTTCATCCCAATGATTATCTGCGATATTGTTGCTTTTCCAATAGGAAAAAGTTTCTTCAGAAGTGGAGAATATCGAATGGTTCGGATGCTTCACTCTGAGATAATTCAGTACCTCTTGTGCGATTGTATCCAATGATGCACTTACATTCGTGTAACATACATCTTTTCGAGGTTGAATACGTTGTGCTTCGAAAGTACAAACTTCTTCCAAAGCTGTTCTTTTTCAGGTTTCTCTCTATATCTGTCCAACTCATTTCGTATCGAAGATAGCTTCTCATAGTGAGACATTTCTATATTGCAAAATTCTTGGATTGAATTGCGATCAATTTTCCTAAAAATATATATATATATTAAATTATTAACTAATGATAAATACAATAAATTGTAATAATAGTAGCATTATAATATATATGAAGATCCTACTGTGGAAATTGTGTTAACAAGCATTTAATCTCCTCAATATAAAACATACATTTCAGCACATTTATAGGCTTACGTGTACGTTCAAAAACAAGTTCATTTTCATTCATACGATTTGCATATTCATCGAAATTATCACTGAATTTCTTTACATCATCGAATTTTAATACTACATTACTAATTGAATCATTGAAATAATTTTGATTTGATATATCATTGTAATAATCATCAAAAAGAATTAGAGACAAATAATTTCGCAATTGTGTCGCAGAATTTATGCCCATTGTAACAAAGTTTATGTTTTCTTCATTTCTCTTCTTCTTCCTTAAGACTTTCATATCTTTTCTTCGTAAAGGGCCATCTGAAATACGACCATAAAATATTGTAATAAATTTTTGATAATGAATCTTAGTTAGGGTCGAGATTAATTTAAAATTAGCTGGATAAAGATCCTAAAAAGATAAGGATCCCTTATAAAAGGGATACAACAATATATGTATTTATATTTTTATTTATAAATTTTTATTGTATTTTTGTCTACTTTAGGTAGGTTCTTATGTGCTATGATTTTAAACCAAATTTATCTGAAAATTATTCTAGATAAATAATATAGTAAAGGTAGTACTTTTTTTTATCTATTTGTAAGATGCAGATATAAAGATAATACATATTTATATTATCTATATGCAGATAAGACGATGCCACAGTTCTTCCATTTAGTTTTATTTAGATAACACACAGCAAACTTTGATGATAGTAAACAATGTGATTGCACAAGTAAGTTTTTAAATTAATAAGTTTTTTGAAGTATACAATTCAAAGCATGAGTACATGTATGTCACTTCTTTTTATACTTTAATCAGAAAAATAAAATATATAATAGTCAATTCTAATTTGTAATTTAATTTATACTTTTCAAATTTTGATTTTAATATGTATATTGCATAATTCTATAAGTGTATTCTATATGCAATTAATAAACATTAATGTGCTTATGTGTTTGTATGTATAGATTAAGTTTTTTTTAATATTGTGTAGAACAATTTTTTCGAAAGCATATTTACAAACAATGCGTCAATTTTGCTTATATATGTCACTTGTTTTTATTTTTATAAAGATTTTATTGTGATTTTTATGTTATTTATAAAAAGAATTGATAGAAAAATATCAAATCTGTTTGTGTCTATCACGAATATATATCATATATATAATTTTTATATTTAAAAATGCAATTAAATATATTGAAAAATACACATTATAATAAATAAACAAAGTTACTTTTATGTTGTATTTTTAATAATTTAATTTAAAAAAAAATTGTTTAATGACTGAATATTTTTCGACTGATATATACATAAGCTAATTAATATTTATTTAATTAATCACACAACGTTTCATATAATTTTTGTTATTCTCAAGTGTTATTGTTAAGTGTACGAAGGACCAAAATTATATCGTCGAAACACCGTGGTCGAAACGTTGTGTGATTAATTAAATAAACATCAATTGACGAATGTTGGTTGAAAAATATTTGCTCTTTTATTTTTGACAGCCGAGAATTAAGAATTCTTATTAGTATATTATATTTAACGTTTACATTTCATATATATATATATATATATATATATATGTATTTTTATATTATATATGTATATATATAATGTAGGTAGAGTTTGCTAAAAATATTGAGCAATGTTTGCAAATTGAGAAAAAACGAAAGCGAATAATTTAATATGCAACATAAATGCAACATATCTATTTTTTTGAATATTTTTTATTATATATTTATTTATAATATACGTTCTTCGCAGAAGTGATATACATTGTGCGACAGGCGTTAATGAGACAAAATAACAAAAAGATTTACAAACCACAAGAATTACCTTTGAGATAACTTTTTTTCCAAGAACTTGTCATATTTGGCTGCATAACGAAATTGCTTGCACACGCATCGAAAGTTAATGATATCTTCAATAGTGAGTACGTTATCGTTGAGAATGTAGCTTATCATCTCCTCTGGTAAGTACGTTATCTTCCAATCAGACATTATGAGAAACAAAACACAAAAAAGGAATGTAAATTAAAGTGATTGCAATAAACTATTCGCGTAATTAATTCTCTGCTTTTTGCAGTACACGAAACGAGTCTGCCGATTACAAAAAGCACAGATGTGTGTTTGATGTACACGAGAGACGTTTCCGCACTACAGACGGTCTGTTCTTTATTATTAAATTTGACCCCAAATTTTATAGTCTTATTGCTTGTTTTCACTAAGATACAGGTATAAGAATTTGTCACGGCATGCGCAGAAAATGTAATTAAGAACTAGCAAAAATTACCACTTTTTCCTGTGCACTTGAAAGATAGAACGTGGTAAATAATTTATTTATTAATTATTCTTTATTATTACTATTTATTTATGTATTGTTCGCTATTTAAGCTTAATTAAAATAATATATTTTTTCAAATTTATCAGTTATATAAAATCTTACTAATTTCCATGTATTTGTATTATTTATTATTTAAGCTTAATTAAAATAATTTTATTTCAAGTAATCATTTATTTTATTAAATTTTACCAACTTTTATGTATGTATATTTTACAATTTACAACTCCAGTGCTGTGCATTATGAAATATTCTCGATAAGAGAGAAAAGGAAAGAGAGAGATTTACATTTTGCATTTTTCAAATCTTTACAGATAAAATTCTCAACTAAAATAAAATTTCCGATTTACAATACGAATATTTAATAAATGATGCATGTACAAATAGTTTATATAAGAATATTTTACAATTATATGTAGTTTTATTCGGGCGTATATATGGGGTGTATATATTTTAGTAATCTAAAATCTACTTTATAAGAATATAAAACTTTATGGATTAAATACAAACTCACAATGAACAGACTATGCGAACTCAACGCAGATGTTTGTGAATAAATCTCAATTTGATATTTTAATTCCTATGTTTCCTTTTGATCTCCCTACAAAGATGTAGAAAAGCAAAATATATCGGTCCAAAAGTCGGCTGAATCGGAAACTGAGGAATTAAAATTGAGATTCTAAAATTGAGATCAATTTGCAAAATCTGAAATTATGCTAATATCATACAAAATCTAATATCATTTATAAGCTTTTATCGTCTCCTTCAATACAAAAGAATTATGTATATTTGAAAATATAAAAATCATTGTCTTTTATTAACATACTTATTTATACTTATACAAATGCAACACACTATCGATTATATATGTTTCAAAATAACTAATTAATTTTTTTATTTTAAGATTTATTAATTCTTCTGCACCAATTCAAATTGTTGCAGTCACAAAATTTTTTTACTTTCTTATTTATATTAATGAATACAATAAATATCGCAGAAAGATAATAGCTATATTTTATTCATCGTTGATTCTCAATTGTCGAACATGTATGTATATATGTATGTGTCAATAACATCCTATTATCTATTATGTTGGTCCGAATCTGTAGATTGATCTGTAGGTGGATTATATATTATGATAATTTCCACAGCATATTTCACGTTTTCATTTATGTTTACTACTATTTAAAATAAGACAGAAACTGTAAAATTTTTACTTTGATTTTTTGTGAATAAATGCCTCAATAAACACTTAAAACACGTTAAATTATCGAAAATTGTAAATTATACATAATTGTTATCTGAAAATATCTCACAATGCTCTTTATTTTTACAATGGTTTATGTTATATACTAACTAGCGATTATGTTAGTGCGCGTATGTTTTTTACACATTACAATTCACTTCGATTAATCCCAATTTGATTATTGTATGTCTTCTTATAATCATTCCAACAAAAATTTTTATCATGTGCAACATCTAAAAAAGTTAATTAAACATGAATAAAGATTGAATGTATACAAAGATCTAATTATAAATTAAGAAATGGGAGATGTACATTTCTTTTCTTTCTATACACATATAATGTAATTTATTAATTGTATAAGTTTCAACCTGTTCAAGTTCTTATTGCGGTGACGTGACGTGTTTCAAAGCACTTGTAACGTGGTAAAAAATCACGAAGACAGTTCGGGTATTTCTGGTTTTTTATGCAAAAACATCGTGCATTTTCTAAATTATTTGTGACGCTGTAAACAATTAAAATATTACCTTTATCATATGAAAATTTTTATAATAAAAAATTATATATGTATGCGTATGATAAAAAAACAAGATTATCGAGGAATAATGATAATGTCGATTCTAATATATATCTATACTTACAATTTTGATTTCCAAATTATAGAGAATTCATTTTCAATATCTAGTACATCGCAACGTAGACCAAGTCTTCTAGCCACGCTATTAAATATTGTATATACAATGATATCTTGACCAACTTTATTTTGTAAAACCTGTGCCAGGTATAATACAGGACAAATTAATCAAAGCGAGAGAATATTAAAAACAACATATAACGTATACATATATGGCCCATAATTATATATATTATAATTTATAATAACTTACATAATCTATACACAAACATTTGATATTTTCGGGTACGTAGATACATACTCGAAAGTTCAAAGTGCCAAATATATATTCCTGAAGTGTATCTATAATCTGCATACTTTCTGTTTTATTCCAATGATTATCTTCGATATTGTTGGTTTTTCAATAAGAAAAAGTTTCATCAGACGTGGAGAATATTGAATGGTTCGGATGCTTTTTTCTAAGAGAATTCAGTACCTCTTGTGCGATTGTATCCAATGATGCACTTACATTCGTGTAACATACATCTTTTCGAGGTTGAATACGTTGTGCTATGAAAGTACAAATTTCTTCCAAAAGCTGTTTTTTTTCAGGTTTCTCTATATATCTGTCCAACTTATTTTCTATCGAGGATAGCTTCACATAGTGAGACATTTTATATTGCAATAACTTTCGATTGATTTGCGATTTCTAAAAAATGTATATTGAAGTATTAACTAATGAGTAAATACATTAAATTGTAATAATAGTAGCATTATAATATATATTAAGATCCTACTGTGGAAGTGGTGTTAACAAGCATTTAATCTTCTCAATATAAAACATATATTGCAGCTCATCTATAGGCCCATGTGTACATTCAGAATCAAGTCGATTTCCATACAAACAATTTACATATTTATCGATATTACCTCTGAATTTTTTTACATGTTTTTTGAATTTCAATATAAGTTAAATTGGGTTATCGCGAAGTAATATTCATTTGATCTATTAAAGTAATAATAATCATAAAAAAGAATTAGAAACA